TATATATATATACACACACACACATGCAATTGATGCATCGTTACGCATATCAAATATGGAGGCTTCTAACAACTGAGATGAACAGTTTAAGTGGTTTGATCCTATCGAATCATAACAGTTGGTATAATACCAGAAAATAACAGTTAACACTAAGGCTAGAAACAATGACTAACACAAGGCTAGAAACAACGATTAACATAAGCTAGATTGATTTCTCATATTTCATCACTTAAAATAATAAATATGGTACTATATTAAGGTAGAATAGTTTGAGAATGAGTCTACCACAACAATAGCTTGCAACACTAAGTCCCAATAAGATTAGTCCACCGACTACTCTCCAAATACCACAACCCTCCAATACTCAGTTAGGGACTAAGTCTTTGACTTCGTACTTTACTCGATTAACCACTTATAATTAGTATAGCTCAAACTTGTCCATATATTGTAGTCACTTTATAAATGTATGTCTCGACTTTGCCCACATACAGATAGTACGTATAACCTAAAGGAGACAATTGAAAATAACTTACTTATTCAAAAACTAACTTACTTACTGAAGGGTTGAACACATCATATATCCATACAAATGAGATATTCAATTATGGAAACATTTTTAACTCTCCTTTGCTTCCTATGTATCCAAACAGAGATATGTATCACAACCACATACCTAATAACTGAACAACTTAACAACTTATCATCGTACATTGTTAAAGCTTAAACATCATTCAACTTACATATTAAAAACACAACAACATAACATCATATCAACTTACATCTTTACAACTTAATCATCTTTCAAAATACATATCAACTTTCAACTTGACAACAATAGTAAACAGAACATTCTATACATAACAATTTTACAACTTTTAACTTTAACAACTATCAACATTCATATTACAACATATACATCATCACATTCGACATCAACGTACAACCTTCTACATTGTCAACATATCATTCCATTACACATTTCCCGTAGCTTAGCATCATACAATTCTTATAACTTACACGTCAACCAACTTACACCATTCAACTTATAGCACTTCATAACATATGCAACATATCCATAAACCATTTTTCACCTTAACAATATAATTAGCATCATATATCATCTATCATATAGTTCATAAATCCTCATTCAACTATAAGACAACTTAAAATATCCTACAACATGTATCACATACAACTTATTAACTTGTAACATGTAGATTTCATTATCATGCAACATCATCCATACAACTTATTCATCATCACTTAGCAATAAAATAACTCAAATGACAAATGTTATATACAATTCATTCATTATGCAAGTAACCAACTCACTTAAAAAATAAAATATTTGACTAAGTTCTCACACTGAGCATGGAATCTCATGTTAAGCATCAAACTTCCAGATAGTCATGTAAGAAAATTTTCAAGTTCCTACGTTAAGTGTGGAATCTCACGCTCAACGTCAACCTTCCAAAGGCATACCCAATTCTCACACTAAGCGTGAAACTCATGCTTAGCCTCAACCATGCTAAGCATGAAAACCCACACTTAGCCTCAACCCTTTAGAGACACTTCCTAATTCTCATGCTAAGTGTGAAAATTCACACTTAGCCTCAAAAATCCAGAAGCTCCTACATAGTTGAAGAACACCACAACAACTATGAACACCGCCCAATCTTCAAATTCTCTCAACTTATGCAATAATCCTTGCATACAGCTCCAAAGCCTTCCAATTCTAACAATATGCAACCCCAAAATTGAAGAAGAAAAAGCATGCAACAACATGTCAAGAATACCAAAAATCCCAATCCCCTTTTGTAACCTACTCTGATTTGATCCACATAGCCATAAATCTCTAAGGAATTCACAAAACACAACATCCACCCCAAGAATCAAGCATAATAGTAAACATTCAACAAGAAATTCAAACGTAGAGCTTCCCTTACCTCTTGTAGGACTAAATCACCAAAAGAAGAAGGAAGGTGGGAGGAAGAGGTTCTCCATGTGGCTTTGACCAAAGATCTTCAACTCCACAAACTTGGATCCTCTACCCTGACAGTAGTACTAGACTTCCTAATTTAAGTGACGAAATTTGAAAAATTATATTAAGTTGTTAAACAGGTTCTTTGTGAGACCTAAAGTTGTCTATATTTGACCTGGTTATGATAGGTCAAACGTTGTGATTTGGTAGGATTTAGTCATTTAAATTGCTCATCATCTGTTGTAGGAGATCTACATAGTTGATACTTGTGAGGATATATTATTTGTATATATGGTGTATGTTGGACATGCTAAAGTTGCGTAAATTGTAATATGTGATGTTGGTTGATGATTGAATGTTGTTTATTTAAGTTGAGTGTGTTACGCTATTTTATGATGTTAATTTTTTTTTCACAAGTTTGTCATTCTTTTCCTTATGGTTGGAACTGCTATGATCATATTTGGTATGAGCATAAGATAGGGTTAGCGAGACTACTTGAACATTGGTGCTAAGTCATGTTGGTAGTGACTCCCGTTGTTGTCGTTGCTTTTATGCAGTGGTTTTGTATAGACGTTTGACTAGTGGTTTAGAATCTATTTTGTATACATTATTTACTTTATTATGTGTGTAGTATATATGTATAATAACTTTTATTGTGTTATTCCCCTTACATATAATTGTGTGTATGAGATTAAATACTTGTTGTATGATAACCCTAAGTAGATGCATGTTATTCTTTTCTTCTGCTACATTGTTGCTAATCTATAATAAGTGTAATGACCTATCATATTGTTATATTAAATATGTAAATTTTATTTTTTATTTATATAGAATAATTTAATTATAATATAAGGTTACTTTTAATTACGAACATTTTTAAACAAATAAATATAAATAAAATAAATATAGAAGAAGATATTTTAAAAAAGTAGGTGGTTAAGAAAATATATGCATAAAGATAAAAATAATATACGTTGATATGGTTGAAAAAGAATCTTTTTACTAGTAGTAAGAGTACTATATGAAATGCACATTGTTAAGAAATTTAAAAAAAAAAGACTGAGAATGTCTAATCGCGAGAGTGGAGAAAATTTCACTATCCAACATGTGTATTTTAATTCTAATTTTTAATATAAAATAAATATAAACTAAATTTTAAATAAAACAAGTTAATTTCTTAATAAATTATTTGGTTATGTGGTTTAAAAATTGAATTTGATTAAAAACTCGTTGTAAAAACTAATTTGGGTTAGCATTATAAAAATAGTTATATACATGTAGTCAAATAATATTAATCTAATTTTTACTAACTATTGTACTACTGAATAATTTTATATTAAATATTGTACTACTGAATAATTTTATATTAAATGTAAGTTTTATTGATCAAACTGTTGAATTATAACTTTATATCAAGTTACACGCTTATGTCAAATTTTACTGAAATTGAACAACAATTTAAAGATAATCAAATTATTTATATTTTAGTATATTTTAAAATTTATATATTACGTCGATTTTAATTTATATAAATGAGATATTAAATTATCTTGAATTAATGTAAAATTTTGTATATATAATCTAGAAGTAGGAAGTTTCAATGTAACGATAATTTTTTTTTTAAAAAAAATAATTTAATATAAAGTTATTAAACGGTGTGTATATATATATATTTTTAAAAAAATTAAACTAATATTAAATTAGTTTTGAACCATTTTTTAAAACAATTTTGTTCTAAAATTTATTCTACACATTTGATTTTAAATTGAATTCAGTTGTTTTTATTAATATAT